GTGGTGGGAGGAAACCCGGTGAGACGCCAACGACGAGATAGACGAGTGACTGCTCGATCCATGTGCCAACCTCGACGACACTTGCAAAGGTATAAGCTCATAAACCCTAAACCTTTGAAAACCCGTTCTCGCCGCTTGCAACGCGGCGAACGACCAACTCATGCACGCTTTTCTCTAGCGTGGTGGGAAGGGAACCCGGTGCGACGCCTACGGCGAGGTGGGGTCAAATATAAACTGCTTATTTTAAACTGGTGCCCGCAACCCATGCACGCCTTTCTCTGGCGTGGTGGGGAATAAAATTATTACGGCCGCGGTGTCCTCGTTCGAGGGCACCTACCGTGCACGCTTTTCTCTAGCGTGGCAGGAGGCCCAGTTTTCCTTAGTTTTCCCCTAAACGGGGGAGACGCCGGAAGGTTGCCGAAATTTCGGGTAAATGCAATTCGTACTTGGGACAATTTGGAGCTTTACTTGGACATTGATTGGAGCATCAAATGGACTTAATTCAAACTTAAACAATATAATAACTTCAAGTGCAAACGAAACAAATAAGAAAACGGCTCGAACTCAAGTGAACTGCAGGGGACTTATGAACTCGGACCGGATTGAACAAACAGTGAACTATTTGAACATGCAATCAAACTTGCAAAGACGCGGAGGACTTGTACTTGGACCATTGGACATAATACAAAGATTTATAACTTAAGAAAGATAAAGTTGAAATGAGAACATAATTTAAACTCAAACTTGAACTTACAAATGAACTACAACGAAGACTTGAGTTAGAATATAATCTTGAACTCAAGAGACTACAAAGGACTTGACAATTTGAGCAAAGATAGAACTTGCACTTGAACAAAGGCAGAGGACTTATAAACAAAGATAGAACTTGATATTGAACATTCAAACTCAAGTGACTTGAACAATTTGAACCCAAATTCAAAGTAAATCATAACTTTGAACTTGGACAAATACAAAGATGAGCAATCAATAGAGAGTTTGGCTTGAATCATTGTACCAAATTCCTAATTAAGGCTATAAATGACTATTTCAATTGAAATACAAAAAAAAGATGATGTCAAACTAATTATAAACTATTTTTGAGGACAAAGATATTGCAAAGGGAGTCCATTTGCAAGCAAGTAAAAAAATTCATCAACTCTCAAAGCGTTCAAATGAACACCGATGAAAGGACACAATGCTTGTAATAAACAAAGCTTCAAGAGGAACTTGCAAGCAATCATCAACAAGAAAGAAATGAACATATAGCAACATGTTCATGATAT